TTTGTCGCCACGCATTTATCAACAAGCACTCTCTTACTCGTTTGTTGCGTGCTTTGTCTACATGTAATTAGTCGGTGGCACTTACGTTGCAGCGTCTTTCCCCCGATTCATGTCTCGATCTGCTAAGTGTTGTTTGCATGAGAGCAGTAGCATGAAGATGTTGCAGTTTTGACCGTTGGTTACTGTGGTGTGAGACGATGGTCGATCCTAGATGATTAACTCTTTGTTCGTCCGATGCCGCAGTGGACTATGCTGTGGAGCAAAGTCACTTTGCTCTCTTCTTCAACATGGGGCAGTGCTGCTGCGCTGGCGCACGCACGTTTGTAGAGGGCAAGATCTACGACGAGTTTGTTGAGAAGAGTGCCGCACGAGCGAAGAAGAGAACTGTTGGAAATCCGTTTGATCCTAATAATGAACAAGGACCTCAGGTGGGTGGAGTGTTGTCGTTCACTTCTTGAGTTCAAAGTAGATTTCGCCAGCCGATTGTGGCGTGTAGAGTTGTTCGCACTCGTTTATGTCCGTGTTTGTACTTATATTTAGGTGGACAGTGAACAGTTGGGTAAAGTGCTGAACTACATTGACATTGGCAAGCAAGAAGGAGCTAAATTGGTTGCCGGAGGTAGTCGTCATGGCGATCAAGGATACTTCGTTCAGCCCACGGTGTTTGCAGATGTAAAAGATGACATGACAATTGCGAAAGAAGAGGTACGTGTTAGGAGTCATTGTTAGGAGATATGGGTAGCCCCAGCTAGGGCTATCAGGATGACGTGATAGTAATTAGGATGGGTAATTAGTGTTTTGTGTAATAATAATGTAGGCAGACACGGAGAAGTAAATACACGTGTATAAATAAATACATGAGTGCCATAATCGAATGTCTAGACCCTGCCGATGAGGGGTAGGGTTAATGTTGTCTGCATGTTACTTTCAGATCTTTGGACCAGTGCAGCAGATCCTACGATTCGACAGCATGGAGGAAGTGTGTGATAGAGCTAACAGCAGCATGTACGGCTTGGCAGCTGCTGTATTCACGAAAGATCTAGACAAAGCGATGATGGCATCACAAAATCTCAGAGCTGGCACAGTCTGGTGAGTTGACGCAACATAAGATGAAGCAATATGATAGGGAACGAGATTTAGGAATAATATGCGGGTTATATTCACATCATAGAATGTTTGTGATGCGTAGCCATTAGCATGATTGTAGAAGTAACGGGTACCATTACTACCCTACTGAATACATACTTTGCAATTGTGCAATAAATGACTTTATTAGTATAATACATATGTAGCTATTTATAAATGTACAAGTTATAGATAATACAATAGTTGTATGTAGATAGACAGTTAGTAGGGCCTGTCACATTAATTATATTTGACTAATAAATTTACTTAATCATTGTAATTTATTGCTTACCTAGTAACTTAACGATCTCACTAATTCATATGTATATGTGTGCAGTAGCATTAAGTTTTGACCTTTTAGATTTTCTTCTGCTTCACGTTTGTATATTGTGATTGCAGGATCAATATGTACAACAACTTTGATGCAGCCGCCCCGTTTGGAGGTTACAAGATGTCCGGTAATGGTAGAGAGAAGGGCGAGTATGCACTGGAGGAGTACACCGAAGTCAAATGTGTAAGTGTCTCACAGCTCAGGCTTTGTGTATCAAACGTAGGTCACTAATGTCTCTTGCAAGCAACAATTAGTATGAATTCATATTTATCTTGTGTTAAATCCAAGAAATTAACTTACTATCGAAATTTTCGATCTCCCTTCGGATCTCTCCCTCTCTCCTTCATCAGGTTGTGACGTCACCATAGATGGCAGCAGGTGGTTTCGATAGTAAGTTAATTTCTTGGATTTAACACAAGATAAATATGAATTAATAGTTTCAACGAAGTCCAATGAACTTATTTCATTCAACATTAGTATGCTATATTACACCAGATTTTAAACTCAGATGTCAGCTTTTAGTTTCACTATAACATTGCCCCTATGTGGGAACCATACTCATAACCGCTGACCCCGTAAGTATAATAACCTCACTCAAGAACCTTCTTATCCTGTCATTAAGTGCTAACAATACATGAAACCCCTGCCCTTGCCAAAATGTGTTCACTATACGTAACCTATGACGATATCACTGATGTAATTTTATCTCTTGTTATCTGCAGGTGATGATGAAGGTACCAGAAAAGAACACATGAGTGTTTTCCACTGCTTCATTTGTCGCCGGCTGCCATCATTATTGGGAAGAAGACATTCCTTATCGCAGTAGTGATGAATTTACAAGATCTACGATGCCATGTAGGGAGTAGAACCTCATCTGTTTGTGGGAATGTAAAACTTACTAATCTAAAAATCAAGCATCTTTAAATGTATGTGAAGAAATGTAAATGTTTAGGTTGGAAATATATTAAGTGCATGGTGTTGCCATTTCGGTGATTGGTTTTATGACATTTCGGTGATTGGTTTTATGACATACAGCCCGTGGCATACTCCTTGTAGTTATTTATATATGTTCTCTTATTAAGGAAGCATAAGTCAAGCGTTCTTGCAGATTCAGTGATAGAATCTGCATATGAATTTAGTTTTGCGCACAAATTCTTTATGTATTTATCTTTTTTGTAACTTTTGATTATAATTTTGTAGTCTCTAAGGGCTTCGAGCATCTGTTAGTGATATGTAAGTTTGTTAATCAACACGAAACCCAGGTGTCCTTATATCCTTTATGAGAAGGAAGATGTTTGATTTTTGTATCATGTTTGCAGCATTTTAAGAGTGAAGAAGGAATGGACCTACTGGCAAGTGACAAAAAATTAATTTCCATATATAATGCAGTATATAAAAGCAGATATAGTGAGGTAAGAAATTTCAGTATAAAAACGAAGTATATTGTTTTCTGATAAGGGAAATTTATTTAAAAAAATATGTCATAGGAAAGTGAGATTCGAATTTCGAAACAATTTCGATAGTGGATACAGTGGTAGCAGCAACATTACAGCCTATATTCAGTATGTGCTTGCTTTATAACACTATACTATTTCTGTAATAAAACTTCACTGTGAAATTTGGAGCATAATTGATTCTTTTGTTGAGTCTCAAGTCATCTCCAATTGACCAAGTGTGCCCATTATAGAAACAACATATTAGAATGGCTCTCATATGCCTACCATACTCCGTTATAGGCATGAAAAATACTATACAAGTTTCTCTATACATTTTCATCGTTACGACAGTGTTATATCTCTTAAAAGCCAGTTGGCTTGACAACCCTGAGTGGGAACAGGTGACTACTTGTCATGTCTACCTGTGTCTGATTCGTTTCGACAAGGAGCTGTTTGCCAGAAATTCTGAACGTGTCACGTTGGTAACTGAAGCCTCTACTTTAGGAGTGAAGTTATAGAGGCTTACTCCAGAACTCTAAACCCATTTCTCTGCGAGGTGGTGACTGAAGCAAATGGTGGCGAGTGCCTTAATTGTTCGACACAAGAATTATATGACAAATGTGAGAGAGTCGAACCCTCGACCCTTTAACCAAGAGTCCTGGTTGCTATTTAAACAAATAAAGCTGACATCGATTTCACTTACTTTTAATTTATAAATGCATGTCTAATACACATGCCACGATAAATACTGGAAAAAATAGTTCCTCGTGCACTCAGCTAAATACACGGCATGGTCTCGTTGTAGGTACACCAGGGGTCAACGCCACACGGAGAGATACAAATCTCAAACACGTCAATTCGCTTTCAGATCATATATTTAATGCACTAACGTCTTACTCGGTTTTTTTTTACCACGAGGGCAGATTTTATTGAATCATTTACTATCCTGCCCTGCAAGAACCACATGCTCGTCTTTGCTGTACAGTAGGTAGTGCGCGTGTGTGCTTTCTAATTTCAATGACAGAGGGGGTGGTTTTTGGGGTCCAGGCGACTGATCTTATATATTAACTATAACCACGCAACTATACTGTTAACTACATTATAAGTTAGTGTATATATATCCGTGGTCCAAGCTGGGATCCAATATAAGCGATTAATTTCTAATATATGTGAACCTGTGCGAAACTTTAATGAATGGGTTGTCTAAAAAATTGTTCCTCGAAATTTACATTAAGCCGATTTTAACTGCGACCATATACGGTCATTTAATAATGTTAATGCAGCGCGGGAAGAATTTCAGTAAATTTCTTGTATTATCTCGTATTGAACAAAGAAAACTTATGATGATAGAAATTACATTAATATGTCTCCCTGATTATGTATTTCCATAACCACTATATTCCTATATCATATATCTATATCTTGTATCTATTGTATATGCTTTAAAGTTTGATTTTTCCGCACAGTAACTATATTTGGTGAAATTATTAAGTTATTTCATGAGCATCCACAGTTAAGGGGAATTTATATATAGGTTTCATATAGGGTATATATATATATATATATATATATATATATATATATATATATATATATGGGGCTTATATATATATAGGGCATTTTTTAATGTGTAAGCTTGCGTGTGCCTTATCCAAGTGTCAAGGCCAGGCATAGCAATAACCTTCTCCAGACTGTCATCAGTTTCACCTAATTCTCAGACATGCCATAAACATCAGGATAACAAGGGAAGGAACAAGTTCTAACGTCTGTTATAAACATTCTAACGTACACTGTATGGTGTCCGTCGTTTCCAAGTAACAATAACCAACGTACTATCGCGATCCGCGATTCCGTCAGAAAAAAACCAGTCTAGAATAGTTTGAGGCGGTTTTAAGCGTTCATTAGTCATTGATGTTGATTAGTCTGGATAGTTTCATTGATGTTGCCGATCATTAGACAGACGGACCGACCGCACTAACTTATGTAAATGAGGGGAAATTAAACTGAAGATATGGCCATCAAATGTATTCATTTGCTCAACGAGAATATATCTCGAGACCCGTTCATTGCCGTTACTTTACTTACACTATTCCTTGTATTTATAGTCAAGTAGGAGTTCCGACACTAAAGGATACAGTCAGGGTTAAAGACAGGTACCTCTGTAAAGGGCATTACAACATAACTGCTCTTTAAATTCAATCAAACTCATATCTATTTTATAAAAGAGATGTCTCTCTACGCTCTCGATGAAAATAATCAAAAAACTTCATTGCTAATTACTTGATGGCAAAAATAACGTTTTTTTCTTATTTCTCAGAAACAGCAAAGAGTTGGGACATCGATTTTTAGCCATAAGTTGCTCAAGCTGAGAAGGTTAATCGCTCTGTATATAGTATGGAGCATGTGTGAGGCGAGTTGATGTGCTATGAAGTGACCTGTCCCTGCAGTGTAGCCACGTAACTGCGTGGAATAGAAGTTGCTCGAAATAAAACCGGTTGCGGCTCATAACCGTGACTTGTATGTAACCTCCTGATACTGCATGAATATATTATTGTGGCGCCTTGCAAGAGAAATCGCCTTCCCGCTTGTGTGTGAGCAATCGCGGTACATCCAGATCCAGGAGAAATTGTCCGGACTCCGTACGAGTATGGACGCGTTGGTAGTCAGTCAGTCAGGTGATGTTATTTCCCACTTGGCTCTGCATGTATACATACGTACATGTCCACATCACACACCCACACGCGCTGCGTATTTTTGTATATCACAATGATCTGGAATAAATAAATAAATAAATAAATAAATAA